TTCACATCAGTAACATGCAAGAAATCCACATCACATTCGTCAATCACATTTGCAAAATTTAATAAAAAACACTCTTGTAATGATGATTCACTTTTAAAATCATTTTCGGTATCAGGATTAGATGTTTCATTTTTTTCTTCCCGACTTACTTTTAGAAGTTGAGAATAAATGTTTGGTGTTAAAATTAAAGGAACAGATAATTTATTTACGGCTGCAACAATGATTTCTAACCTTGGTGAATTGCTATTTAAAGATAATCCTACTCTACTACTCTAGCGATATCTGCCTCTTTTTTTTCGTCAAAACATGAGCTAAGTATTATTTTACCGTCCAGCGGTGTCTTTATTTGAATGAATGATGAATTTATGACCGGAACTTGAGCGCCTGAATCGATAAGTGCTTTTATTTTTTTATTTTCTTCGAAAATATCAGCATATTGCAACTCGTGAATAAAACTGACGTTATTAACACTTGTTTTGTTTTTTCTTTCTGTTTCCTTATGCGATTCGCTTTGTTTACGTTTTACGCAATCCCTAGCGAAATGAAAATTTTCACCCCTTTTCCCCGCAGAGACGTAACATGATCTCTCTGGCGTCGACGAAATGACATCCGGTTTGCTTTTAGGTTTGCTACGACGGAATGAGTCATTCTTAATACTTTGGTTTTGAACACTTGGTACTTTCGATTCATTAGACTGAACTTTAGGGTTATGTATTTCAGACAATGATTTTCCTCGGGATGAAAAATATAAATCACATTCTCGCCCTAACTGTGTTGGATTAAACCATGTTCTTCCCTCGCGAACACCTATGTATTCTTTCGTTTTGAAATCCAAAGTTTCATACAATTTATCTGCAACAATTAAATCAAATAACTTTTTAAAATCCTTTTGTGTCTCCCTAACCTGACAGTAGTATTCAAATGCTGCGGTCAATCGCGATGCAAATTGAACATGCGACTCGTTTGCTGCGCGTTGAGCATGTTTAAAGGTGTTCAGAATCTCTCTTGGTGTCGGCTGAAATTCAGCTAAAAACAACTCTTTTAGTTTTTCGTAATTCGACAATTCTTCTTCAGTTGCATACGTTAAAACATTATTCGCTTTAACCCCTAGCAAATTAATTAGTATCTCAGCTTGTAAGTCTTTGGGAACTTCTTTGGTGGCAAAAGCTTTTTCCAATGAAATGAAAAACAAATGCAATGCCTCTGGCCGCTCAGGAACAGAGATTGTAAGCGTTTTAACACTTTTCAGTAAATTTTCAACACTAGTCTGTGCGTTTCTTCTATCACCCGATAATGATTGTGATTTTAAATTTTCTAGCTCAATTTGGGCTAATTTAAGACGTTCGATTTCTAACAGATAGTGTTCATTACTTGTCTTAGGCGTCCGATCCTCGACGATCGATTTGACGACGCCACGAACAAATTCAATGTTCGTTTTGAAGACATCAGAATTTTCTATAATTTTTCTAATGTCAGCTTTTTTAGCATTTTCTGGAACATTCTCTCCAATTCTTTCGGCAATTAATTTTAAATCACTCTTGTTTGAATTATTTAAGAAACTCATTTTAAAACGAAACACAAGTATCACTATCTTAAAGAAGGAAAAGTTTTCACAGTACCTTTTTTGAAGTTCGCTGGCTTGGAGACCCCATAGTTGTGAGGGTGATGTCTTATCATCAAACAGAGATCACACTCACGATTCAAAGTATCAGGTTTTTTATTCTTGGTTCATAGAAGAAAAGATAAACGGAATGATTATGTACAAATGGATTAAATATGTTTAGGAGAGTAATCAACACTGGTTCCAGTATGGAGATGTAAAAGTCACACCTACGTGCGGTCACTTTAGATAAGTTCCAAGGCAGATCGCCTACGCACGACCAGTAAGCGTCTAGTTGTAGCTCCTTCGCTAGCATTCTGTTAGACCGCTTCTGTCGGACTTCTCGAACCAAGAGAAGATGTGTTTACCTGGAGAGTTCCTACAGAGTAGAGATAGATAGCGACATCTGGTGCTTCGTTGAGGCATGATTCCCACACATATGATGTCAATAACTACCATAAAATATAAGTATATCCATTCCAAAAACATTGAATTTGTTATGAATAGTAATGTTATATGTAGCAACTGGTCAGTTTATATTACATGAGACAATACTGATATAGAAAGAAAGGCATGAAAGATAAACACAGGTAAACTTAGCTGTCAGTAGATGCGATTCAGTAGTATACATATGCGTTACTTTCGTTACTTTCTTCGTAGAATTTTCTTTTCTGTGGTTTATTGTAAAAGTATATGATCTTATATAATGTAATAGCAGGCCTGTGGATGAACGGTTTATATTATGAGCAGTAGTATTAATACATTTTTGGGAGGGAAATGTTATCTATGACTTTTTGGCAGTACAGGTATACCTCACTTTACACTGTTAATTGGTTATTCTTAATTCTAAAAGGCCGCTTCTTTCAGTGTAACCTTCTTTTGTCCATGTTAAAAATGTGTCCATTAAGGTAGCTTCCTTCATCAATAACTTGTTTTATTTCTTCTGGAAATTTTGATACTGCTTCTTTACCTGCACTTACACTTTCACACACAGTGCAAACCTTATGAATCTCTGAGCATTTTTATAAAGTGAAAAAACCACTCACGACTTTGCTCAAAAATTTTTGTCAGTTTTGTTTTCAAATTGTTTTTCTTTTAAGTGTAGAAAAAAAGACACAATACTTTCACCTGAATTTTTAGTTAGTTTAGAAAAATTTATTCAAAGTTATTAACATAGCTATTAATTGTTAACAAACAAAATGTAGAAAAAATGGGGAAATCTGTTTTTTCAAAACATGCTGAATTTTTGTTCTAATTTTATCTTCATGTGCAATAATTAGAAAGGATGTAATTTGTTGTTAATGCATACTTATTTGTGGTTTTATCTATATATTTAAGTTTTATTTAGTTTCAAATTAAAATGTCAATTAGTTACAGAAGACTGATATTAAATTACTTATAATGGAACTGTATGGTACTGTATGGTCTTAACTCGTTTGGTATGGGCATGTCATATGTGCATCAACAGCAAACATTAGCTCACGGCTGGGTGTGTCATATTTGAATTGCCATTTAATTCACTCCATGGGCGGGCGTACCACATTTGACTTTTTAGGTAGAACGTTTAATTAATATTTTTTGTTGCCGCTAGATGTAGCTGTTTGTCTGTTATGGGGAAATATATCGAAAGTTAAGTATGTGTACCTTCATTCCTATGCAACGTTTTTTATTTTTGGTATTTTATTTCGGAATGAGAGGGAGATTCGTGGGTTGGTGTCGAGCAATGTAATGTCTCTTTAACTGCGTCATTCATTTGATATAAACAAATGCACGTCTTTTTGATTCTTTGAGGTACTTTTTATTTTTGCGATATAGGTATCCGAGTTTAGAAGAATATACACAAATGCTAATTCGTTAGTGTTGTAGCTCTTACTGCATCATTTCATATAAAGAAATGAACATGTTCTTGATGCTCTGGAATACTTCTTAATTTAATTTATTTATTTTGTTTTTATTTTATTTTTTTATCACCGCATAGTGGAGTAGGTGTTCTATCATTAGAGACTTTTTTATTATTCTTAGATTTTTCCGGCATTGAGACGAATATTTTGTATGGCTTAGCGATTTTTTTTTTTTTTTTTAACGTTCTATTGCTGGTGTTTTTTTTTTTTTAATGGAAAAATGAAAGCGCTATCTGACCGTAAAACATACACAAATGCTAAATGAGTCAAATTTGCTGATATTCTATTCCTGTGACATTTTATTAACTAAATTTGTCATAGGAAAAGTGAGATAGGAAAAGTGAGAGTTGATTATAGACAAATCTAACATTAGAAATATTTTGCAAAGCATTTTATTAATGTTTTGAATTTGAAGTACTTGGAATTCATGGTTGGGGTGAAGTATCTAACAACATGGCTGGTTTGTTTTACATTACAAGAGTGTTTTAAAACTTTGTGAACAACTTTGAAGACAAGTAGAAAACACCAATAAACCATATAACATAAGAAAACATGATTGGAAGTGTTGCCTGAAGAACTAAAAAGAGACACTGGAAGTAGCTCCTACAGAAAGCAGTGTAAATGTTTTATTAGACAAAATTAATACATTGTTTATAAATTTTCTTTGCATACACAAAGTAATGATATTCCATAACTACCCAATCAATTTAACCCATTTTACAGAGATGTAGGAATGACAATCCTAGCATTTCCCAATCAAAAAGTGATCAGGTGGTTTCTAATATGCAAATCAAGGCATTAAATCATCTGAATGTAATTACTAGATTATTTTCATGTGATTTGAAATATTGTAAATTGATAAGTTGTGTATAGAAAAAATATTGTAATAAAGGCACTAAATTTGTCAAAAATACATTCAACATCTGCTACTGATATAGAAGACTATGCAGCTAACATTATTATACATATTAAACATGATACGTTGGACTTTGCATACACCCATGTTTCAAAAAATATATACACTGACTCTTTTTTGAAATATTGCTTCGTATTCGTTGTTTGCACAATGAATTTTTATGAAAGACAGTTTTAATATTTTTTAATTTTAATTATGTGTTGTGTTAAATTAAGTCTGTGATTGTTTAAATATTTTTCCATATGTATTTAATTGTGGGATAAAGGAAAAATTATATTATTCCAGAATGAGTATTTCATAAAATTTTTAAGGAAAATATAACAATAAAGGTTTAAAATTAATTCTGACAACTACCTGAATGTTCTTCTCATAATGTACCAAAAATTGGAACAATTGGATGACAAATTCAATTTATACGAATTTTTTTCCAAAGTTAGGCTTAGCAGCGCAAATTGCCCGTCCCCACAATATGACGTATCCGATTAATGTGCCATCCCAAGAGAACGCTTCGGTAATAGAGGTGCCCGTTGTGAACAGGTTAAGTGATTAATATAACAATAAATAACATTTTTTTAATATTCTCTTGTGAATCATCTGTGTAAATTTATATTTCTGCTAAAATGTGTTTTATCATCTTTATGTATTTCTGCTACAAAATGTAATTTTATTTTTTTCTTAGCGAAGTGTCACAGGTGGTTTAGGATCAGCTCAATCTGAAATTATGGCTGATACTGCAGTTGCTTTGGCTTCATCAAATGTTCAATTAGTTGCTCTAAAAGTCATTAGCAGATTGTGTCGTGTAAGTACATACTTAAGCTGCTGTGTGTACTATTTTAGTTTATGATAAAACAACTAGGAAAATAACACTGATAAATATTTTTGCTTCTCTTAGGTTATTGAAAAAACCTGCACATCACCAACACCAACTTTAGAGCAGCATTTAATGTGGGATGACATTGCTATATTGGCTCGATATCTTCTTATGTTATCTTTCAACAATTCCTTGGATGGTCTGTTAAGAGCATAAATATGATAGATTTATATTTTTTGGTCTTGCTGTATTAGTTATATATTTAAATACATTTAAATTTATCTCTTTTAATCTTTCTCTCTGAAAGAGATTTTATGTTTATTATATCTGGGAGGAGCAGAAATTTATTCTGAATTTTTAGTGTGGCAACAGAAACCTCTTTTGTGTTCTGTATTAATTATGCCAGTGTGTATAAAATTTATCACATAAGTACTTTATAAATTACATTGGGTAAATATGTTATTAAAAATAAAAATAATTGTAAAAGTGTATTAAAATGTATATATATTGTTTTAAAATTACACATTCATATGCACTGTATGCAGTATATTTTTTTTAATTAAAAAGTTAGAAAAGTTAGATTAAAGGTCTTTTGCCATGAAATAGATTGATTACATCTATAAGAATTGGCCAGACTTTGGGAGTGATTAACATTATGGTAGCAGAAAGCAGTGTAATATAAAAAGCATTGTAAGATAGGAAAAGTGAGAGTTGATTATAGACAAATCTAACATTAGAAATATTTTGCAAAGCATTTTATTAATGTTTTGAATTTGAAGTACTTGGAATTCATGGTTGGGGTGAAGTATCTAACAACATGGCTGGTTTGTTTTACATTACAGAGAGTGTTTTAAAACTTTGTGAACAAACTTTGAAGAGACAATAGAAAACACCAATAAGAGCCATATTAACATAAGAAAACATGATTGGAAGTGTTGCCTGGAAGAACTAAAAAAGAGACACTGGAAGTAGCTCCCTACAGAAAGCAGTGTAAAATGTTTTATTAGACAAAATTAAATACATTTGTTTATAAATTTATCTTTGCATACACAAAAGTAATGATATTCCATAAAATACCCAATCAATTTAACCCATTTTCACAGAGAATGTATGAATGACAATCCTAGCATTTCCCAATCAAAAGTGATCAGGTGGTTTCTAATATGCAAATCAAGGCATTAAATCATCTGAATGTAATTACTAGATTATTTTCATGTGATTTGAAATATTGTAAATTGATAAGTTGTGTATAGAAAAAATATTGTAATAAAGGCACTAAATTTGTCAAAAATACATTCAACATCTGCTACTGATATAGAAGACTATGCAGCTAACATTATTATACATATTAAACATGATATTTTTATGACATCTGTAAAAATAGGTTACATATTTACATTAACTAGAGTAATGCAAATTGGGCTAAGTATTGTAAAAATAAAATAGTGATAAAGTGCTGTATATACTACATTACAAACTTCTTCCTGTTATTATTCTTTATGGCTATGGCTGTCTCAGTCAACTTCTGCCATCTTGACCCATCCAACATCACAGTCCTCCACCTATTTACACCAACTTTTTTTAACCACTTTTCCTAATTGTCTGCCCACCTCGTTTGTGGTATTCCTGTCCTTTTTCCCTCTGGCTTTTATAGTGTAAATTTCTTCCCTGGGTTTTCATCTCCGATATTACAAACTGTATCACGAATTTGAGTAGTGCAAAGTATATTGAGCTTTATAATGCATTTTTTCTTTTTTCATGTCTTGTAATATGAAAGGAAAGGATTCTTCACATTATAGCATAATCCTCAACAATTGAAAAAATCAACTTTCTATACTTCCTTATACAGCAGTGCTCCGCAACCTTTTCTCACCTGCGACGCACAAAAAACTTTCTGGAATTTCGTGGCACACCAAAGAGTTCTGAGTTATCAAGGAAGTGCCAAAAAAATTAAAATGCTGACACACTTACAATCACACACACAACCACACAACAGTGAAATATATAAAAACATTTAAAATAGACATTATTAAGGAAAAAAATTGTCATTGTGTATTAAATACATGATAAAAAATTGCAAAATGTCAAATACAAGTATTTGATTGCGGCACACCTTTATCCTACTCATGGCACACCAGTGTGCCGCGGCACACCGGTTGCGGAGCACTGTTATACAGTACAAAGTCTGTAATCCGGAATGATCTATAATCTGGACCTCAAAGGCCACAAACTTTTTTTTTTGTATGCTTTACGCATGTGCCTAAAGAATGTGCACGCATACATTATGCAAGGACACGTTGAAAGAAGTGTTTAATAAAATAAACAAATAAATATAAGGCTTTTTTTTTTTTGGGGTGTGTGTGTGTGTGTAAAATTTGATACCCTTTAGATCATAATTGCTCTTTATTTCATAAATTACGATTTTATATTTTTAATTGTATAATAATCCTGCATGCCATCTTACCAGATTTAAATTGATGATCTATAACCCGAAAAACCCCTAATCTGGAATCGCCGAAGTCCCGACGAGTCCGGATTACAGACTTTGTACTGTATATCATTTCAAAGGATGCTAGAAATGAAGACAGTTCTTTATTCAATATGCATATACAGTACAAAGTCGTAATCCGGACTCGTCGGGACTTCGGAGATGCCGGATTAGAGGGTTTTCCAGGTTATAGATCATCAATTTAAATCTGGTAAGATGGCATGCAGGAATTATACAATTAAAAATATGAAACAGTAATTTATGAAATAAAGAGCAATTATGATTTAAAAAGTATCAAAATTAAAAAAAAAAACAAAAAACTTAATATTTATTTGTTTAAGTTGCTTCATTTTTTGTGCTAATACTTTCTCTTTAATTCTATAAACAGACATAATGTCTTGTTAAGTTACAAAGTTCTACTGTTCAAGTCCTGTAATTGCTGTGTCAAGAATACTGATTAACTTGTCAATCAGAATTTTTTCGTTTTCAATAACCTCTCTGTCATTTTCTTCACTATTGGAAGTGGTATTTTCTGGATCTAGAACCATACTACAAATTTTGCCGTCCGTTAATTGATTGATGATTGTTGCATTGTTGTCGCTACGAAAAACTTATGGTATGTTAACTTCATTTATTACTGCTTCTCCACATTTCTTTATAAAATCCAATACTGGAAAGTTTCACCTTTAGTTTGCGATGTCCGAAAACCTTCAAATTCATGGCTATGATCTTCATCGTCCTCACCATGAAATATGGTGGCTGGCCATAAATTATGCCAAGCACTTTTTAACATATCTGGAAGACACATCCTCCAGTGATCTTGCAATGCTCCACACAGCAGATTTTATGCTAAAATTTTCAAAAAGTTTTGAATAGTCTTGCCATTGTTCAAGAAATTTAACATAGATTTTAAAAATGTTACTTTATATTTGCATTTCAGCTCATGCGCTATTCCCATACCCATAGGCTGAATGATAGACATACAATTTGGAGGGAAGAATAATATGGATACATTATCTTTCACTAAAACTTTAAGTGAAGTATGAGCCGAACAGTTGTCTACAATCAGGACTATTTTTGAGTGATCAGATAAACCAAACGAATCCAAATGTCGCCAAGCTTCAGGTATAAAATGATTTTCAAACCAATCATTCATCAATGCTTGTGTCATCCATGCTCTTTTATTTGCATGATATATTACGGGGAAAATCATTACTCCTTGATATGCTTGAAGTCCTGCATGTTTTCCTATTATGAAAAGTTTGCACTTGTGCATTCCTGCAGCATTTGCACATGCTAAAATTGTTAGTATCGCTTTGGAATCTTTGACACCAGTTGCAACCTTTTCTGTAGAGGTTGCCAAGGTATTTCGCGGTACATATTGCCAGAAAAGACCAGTTTCATCAGCATTGTAAATTTGTTCTGGAGATAATTGTTCACTAGTAATGATTTCAATGAATTCATCTGTAAATTGTTCAGCAGCTTCAGTATTAGCTAAAGCTTTTTCACCTGAAATTTTTAATTTTCTTAATAATTTCATTCCATGATGATTTTTTAATTTGGTTAACCAACTGTTGAATATGTGCACTCAGTGTTTAAGTTCATTTTTTCATGAAATATTTTGGCTTGAGCCATTAGCATTGGACCCATTAATGGCACGCCTTCGTTGTGATGCTTTCTGACCCATTCAATCATCACTTTGTCATAATCGTCACTTTTAGCACAACGAATCCTTTTTCTGTTATTCATTGCAAGTGGGGTGTTGGAATCCACAAAAAATTCAAAATGCTCCTTTTTCTTTTTGCTTATGTCCTATACAGTTGACTTTCCAATGTCATACTCCTCATATAATTTTGAGATGGATATGCCTTTATCCATTTTATGCAGCAATTCCACTTTTTGTTTGATGCACATCGAAACATGCTTTCGCTTTTTTGATCCTTTGGCAGCTTGAGAATGGGGAACTCTTTTTGACATAATCGAAAGTTCAAGCTTAATTTTTATAAAATTGCTCTGACAGTCTACATAAAATAATAAGTCGGATCCAATTAGAAGATTAAGGGACAGCGTAATCTGCAACATTAATTGAAATGCCTTAGAATCAGTAAAGATAATTTTAGCCTAGCTTATACCGTCCGTTATACATTAAACACGCATGCATAAAGCACACAAAAAAAAGTTTGTGGCATTGATTCGAATTATAGATCATTCCGGATAATGGACGTCGGGATTACGAACTTTGTACTGTATAAGGAAACGTTGAGTTAGGTGATAGTCTCTCCATGGATAGTCATGTGGCAACTATTTGTTACATTTCACTCGTCCAACAAAGTTGTAGCCTAAGCAGAATATCTGTGGAGTTACTTGTAATAGGGAAATGGATACATAATTCCATACAGGCTATTTTTATCTTCTTCCCATATTTGGTTACATTGGTCAAGAATGTGAATGCAGTGTATGGTCATAGTTGGTGTGGGAAGAAATCAATGACTGATTCTCTCTGGCTTTTGTTTTAATACTTAAACAGCATTTTTAGTGAGGTTTCCTTGTGAACCATAGATGTAAAAGGCATAAATGTGCATGTGTTTCTGTATATGTGTGTGTGATAATGACTTGAAGATAATGTGGAGGCAAGAATGACATGATGAGATAGTTGTGGCCGAATTTTGCATGATTTTATTGCTGGATGCAGCATTTCAGAGACACAGTTCACATATTTTTTTACTATGGGTGTGATATGCATTCATACAATTTTCAAGCTCATATTCTCAGACAATGAGGACAAAGCAGAGTGGCAAGCATGTATCTAAGCAGCAGGATAAATGGGAATTAAAAAAAAGGGTTACAGTTAATAGCAGTCATATTTAAATATTCAGTTGCTTTTTTTAATTTTGAGCTGTGCTATTGGATGAGAACATGTGGATTAGTTTCAGATACGATTCAGTTTATATTTCAGGAAGAGTACTTAGTCAAATTCAAATTAGTAATTTTGAGTTTTTCTTTTACCTTACACACACCTCTTCATTATATACTCACACATACGTATATAATGAAAAAATACAAAGTTCAAACTAAATCCATTTGCATGCTGAAAGCAGCAACAAATGATGGTAATAATAGAATTAAATTTAAATATAATACATTTAAGATACATCCCATATTTAGGTTGGAATAAACATATAAAAAAAAAATACAAAACCAAAAACTAGAAGGAGAGTGGTAAACTGCAAGAAGAAGGAGTAAAACATGCAAAGAACAGAAATAAAATGAGAAATTTACGTCTTTCGCTGTGTTGTCATCAGGGAGTTAGTGCACTGAAAAAAGTAAATAAATCAGCCTGTTTCGGAACCAATAACGATGCAAATTAAAGGTTAAAACATAGTCAATCTTTAAAAAATAATGTGATCTGTGTCTTTATTTGTCTAACCCCTAAGCAGAACCCAAAGTAAACAATGTAAAAAAACATTTCAGAAATATAAACAAATTTAAAGTAAGCATAAAAATATCATTTTGAGTAACTGAATGCTAAAACAAAACCTGCAAATAATAATAATATACAAAGACAAAAATATATATAAATTTTTTTCAAACCCCCCAAAGGTTGGGTTAAAATCCTTTTTTAAAAAGCTGTAGCACCAAAATCATAAACAAGCAAAGAAAATGGTTAAGAATTTTCAATGTAAGCAAACTGAGTCCTAAAACATGTAAAACTCAAGTAATCCAACTTATGAGAATTTGATAGAATAAAAATAAAAAATAAATAAAAAGAAGAGTTAGTTCTTAAAATCTGTAACATTAGACCTTTAAAATTATTGAAATGAAAAAATATATTACAGCAACAAAAGTTTAGAATTGAAAAAATATATTTGACCAGTGATTGGAAGAGTTTCAATCTGTTGTTATTGAAAAATAGTTACATCATCCTGTATAGACAGTTGGTCTGAGTTTGTCAATAATCATGATAGAAAGTCAGCGTTACCATGCTCGTTTGTTTTACAGTAAATAATATCAAATTGGAATGACTGTAAACCAAAGCATAGTGCAGGAGTCTTGTTGCTGCCAAAACTGGCATGCCGTTCTTTGAACCGAAAACTGCAACAAGAGGTTTATGGTCTGTAATTAACGTAAATTTCCTCCCTTTTTTAAGTACAGAAAAAAACTTTTAGTTCCCCAAATGATTGACAAGGCTTCTTTATCGGTTTGAGTATATTTTTTCTCCGTTTCAGTCAGTGTTCTAGAAGCATATGCATTTGAATTTTCTGTTCCATCTGGAAGTTTGTGAGAAAGTACAACACTTAACCCCACTGGTGATGCATCAGTAGCCAACGTTAAGGGCAATTTTGAATCATAATGCATCAAAACATTTTGTGAATACAATTCTTTTTTAATGTTTAGAAAAGCCTCCTGACAATCCTTCATCCAAACCCATTTTGAGTTTTTCTTAGTTAGTTGGTATAAGGGATTTGCGATTGTCCCTAATTTAGAGTAAAATTTTCCGTAAAAGTTAACCAATCCAAAAAAATTTTGAATTTCCTGGACATTTCTAGGTTTTGGGGCCTTTGCAATCGCTGATATTTTTTCATCAGTCTTATGTACACCATTAGCATCAATTTTATGTCATAAAAATTGTATCTCATCCTGAAAAAATTTACTTTTCTCTAAATTTAATTTCAGTCCACAAGTTTTACATTTCTCGAAGAAATTTTTTAAAGTATTTAAATGTGCCTCATCATCGGATCCTGTTATTCACACATCATCCATGAAACTCTTCCATTCCTTAGAATAGTCCATCTATGTTACATTGCCAGATTGTCGATGCTGCATTTAGCCCGAACATTAATCTCATACACTTATAATCCCTTCTGTGTGTTTATTATTAGCAATTTTTGAGTCTCAGGGTGTACTTTTATTTGTAAATAAGCATGCTTAAAATCAGTTTTTGAAAAATGCTTCCCCCCTTAGGGAAATATTTATGACTTAAGAAATTAAATATTTGTAGAGGGGAAAAATTCTAAAATTATTATATTAAATTGTAAAGGAAAATGACACATTGATTCGTATGTTAGAAGAAAGGACTCTGAATTATTACTAGAAATATTTACATGTTGTGTTTTTTCCTGTAATTTTCTCACAGCAGTGTTTTCTAATAAGAAATTTATAATTTTGACTTTTAATAATTGAAAAATTTTAATGAATTAACCATTGCTTTGAGGTGTTTTACAATTTTTAATTCGTCTAAAATAGCTCCCTTCCTCCCCCCCCACCCCTGTTCTTGTTCAAAATTTACTTCAGTGTAAAATTTCTTTACAATAATTTGATTTGTTTTGTCACTAAGCATGTTATTTCATTGTCTCATTATATGCATATATTTGAAAATTATACTCAAACAGTATCCAAAACTGTAGCATATTAAGTAATGTTATAACTAGAAATTTTTTATATCCATTGTTTCAAGATATTTATGAATAGAAGAGAAAATGAAACTGGGAAGACAAAACTCATTTAGAAATCAATTCAAATTCTAACAAATTAATTTGTTATATTATTTTGAAGTTAAAACTCTGTCACTACAACAGTTTGTATTGATTTTGTGCGAGAAATATAATTGTGGAAGTTAACTTGAGGTACTGTTTATTTGTTAGATAAATTTAGTATTCTTAGATGAATGTAATTTTAACGTCAGCTGTAGGTGATGTTGTTTTTGTCCATATGAACATGTAGAAATTAATAAATCATTTTGGTATCAATTACATTAAAATGTTGAAGGTAAAAAAACACAGTAAATCATCTTGTAATTCATCTTTGAGTGAAAGATATAGTCCTTTCATCAGATATAGTTTATATTTTTTGTTTGTCATGGTAATCTGTTATTTCATCATAGTTTATATTTTCTGTTTACAGTTGCAAGCCATCTACCTTATTTATTTCACATTGTAACCTTACTGGTTCATACTGGACCCGTGTCCCTACGAGCTTCTATTCATGGTTTAGTCATAAACATTATTCATTCCCTTTGCACCTGTACAAAGCCATCTTTTGGAGGTTGGTATTTTATTTAAGTGAATTTGTCACGTATTACCATATTTTACATGTTTGCTGTAAATTCTCTTTAAACATGTATTCTGTGAATTATGTATAAGTAATATGGTGTTACATTCTGTTTTGTAGAAATTAAAATGTTTTTGAGATACTTTAGTAAGTTTTAGTGCCTTAATAAATTGCTATAGAATGCCTTAATAAATGCTTAATATTAGCACATGAAGAAAATAAGAATCTCGATATTCTTAGGAAATAATTTCTGTGATGCATCTTAAATTAAATTTTATTTTGTGATCAGGCTTACAGCTTTTGATATTGAGCTTAGGTGACTCAAATCATTATAAGTACCAAGTCCCAGATTCAGATGTCCAATATCTGGAATGATCTAAAATCTAGACCTTGGTTCCATCACCAACCTTTTTTTTTTTTGTGTGTGTGTGTGTGTGTGTGTGAGTGTGTATGCTTTATGCATGCACATTCGATTCCTTCCCCCATGCATAATAAAACAGGTGGAGAGTTCCAAATCATAATTTCACTTTGGCACTAAATAAAATGCCTCGTTATTAAAGAAACAATCATTTTAGTGTAAATTTGTATTATTGAGAATTTGTCTCCAATCAGTATCTGCTCGGTATACATCTGAAACCGAAACATTTTATATAGATACGTCATTGATTTTACACCTACTAATATTTTATATCCTGGACACCAACTTGGTGAATCATTATTTTTATTATATTTTGCTTTCATCACCACATGTTTATCAACACATGACAATTTGAGTAATGACACACGTAGTGATGTCTAAAAAATTTTTTTATGTTAGTAATTGAATAATAAAGAGTATGGTAACCTTTTATGTTGACATTATGCTTAGCGATGATTACAGATTTAAGTTAAATGCGCAAGAAATGTTGATGAGAAAAAATTTAATAAAAATTTATTTCCATATGCTAAATATAGATTTTCTTAATGATATCATAGGCCAAAAGATTACATTTAGTGCTATTTGATTTAAGAATAACTGATTTGTTATTCACATAAACCCAGAACCAGAGCCAGAGCTCATATGGCCGCAGAAAGCGGCAGAATTTAGGGAAGACAAATGGAGGCACTTGGTAGCAGAATTTAGGACCCATAGAAGACTGCATCAGGCATTAACACATCTAACACTGGCCCTCAATAAGCCTTAAGTATATGTGGGAATTTATTTATTCAAGACCCAGATAAGCTTTAATGTATTATTAAAAGTAATATTTTATTAAAAAACTAAGAATTGACCCTGATATTTGCAAAATGTAATGATAGTATAAATATGTAACATTTACCAAATAGAAAATTGAATTTGCCTCTGTAGAAAAACTTCCAAACTATCCTAAAATTGATAAAATGCAGGATTGTGAATATTTGAATAAAGCTTTAGCATAACATTTTTTTCCCTCTCTTTCCCATTTCCACATCTGGTGAAACTTGAAAAATATGTCCATATAGATATAGATGACATTATTTCATGATGGTACCTTTCAGATAATTTGGGTGGGGGGAAAAAAAAAAAAAAAAAAGGTGTATCAGCATTCAATGATGATACTGAAGTATGACCGAAAGAGAACATGCAGCTTTGTACTTTCCTTCCAGTTCAATTAATGAAATCAAATCATTCCAGGCAATATCAGAAATCTGAAGTTTTTCATAGTGGGAAACAAATGCTCTGACATTCTATTTCTATATACATATTCAAATATTGTGGCAAAAAGAATGGACAGCACTTTATGGAATCATAAAATATCCAGTGATTGTTGTATAGATCTCTGAAGTTTTACGACTGGACATAACTAAATATGTTGATTAAAGTTGTAGAGACATTAGGTTATTTTAAGCAGAAGATGTGAAGAATGAGCAATGCCCTCCCCGGGACTCGAACCTTGGACCTCTCAAATATGTGCCGAGCATGCTAACCATTACACCATGAAGGCATGCTAGGAAACGGGAAAAATACCTTATGTATTGTCCCTTTCAAATACTGACTGGGGATTAGGGAGCCCACTCACCAAATCCTGGTGGTGGAGAATCATCATCCACCCCCTTTTAGTTCAGGCGCCACTGTAGAAATATTAAGTTATTTCGAAGCAGGAGAGATAAAAACGAGCAATGCCCTTGGCAGGACTCGAACCTGGACCTCCCGAATACACGCTGAGTGTGCCAACTACTACATAATGAAGGCATTTTAAGAAGTGGGAAAAATACATTATAAAATGACCAAAACCTAATTTTTTAGGCTTTCAGATATCCAAGTCTGATTGAAATCGATTTCTTTTGACTGGTATTAAAAATTTCACAGAATTATTTACTTTATCTTTCTAAGAATTCATTAATATTTGAAGCCCCTTTCTTGCAAGAAACCTCTTCTTTGACAATTTTTTTCTTTTTTTAATGATGATTTTCCTATAAAAAACTTGCTGATATCACTTTTTCACTGACACATGCAATTTCAGCTCATCTCATCAGAGATGCACCAATATCCTTAAACCAACAGTAACATTCTATTCAAAATCACCATAAAGAAAGAAATGTATGGATACTTTGTTGTAACTGATAAGTACTATTAAGTTAGGTGAAGACGGAGAGAAAGAAATAGGGTGATATTGTGCCATTTTGCAATCTTTATACTAAATTAAGTCAAAAAACTGTTTTAGCTTAAGAATTGTAGTGTTCATGATTGCCAAATCTGGTATGAAATTTTCTTTGATATTGTGAATTAATAATTAATAGGAAGTTTAATATGAAAAGTGTGAAACTAGGATTCTTTCAAAATATTTTATTGAGTGGTTGGTATTTTCAACTGACAGAAAAATGTTTAAAACTAAAATGAACAGAATTATTGATTAAAATTATTTATTAATATTGTAACGAAATGCCCTTCTGCTCTAAGATAAGTTTCCCTGCAAAGTTGGGTAGGGTAGCCAGATTTATTATGAAATTGGCTATTTGGTGACAAAATTGGCAATATTACATAGATGGAGCAAGAACATTCTAGAATAAATTCTTACCATTTTCTCCAAGAATGTTCTCGAAGGCAGGTCAAAAGCTATATATACCTGACTTGTAAGCATAGTCATCTATGAGAATATCAAGAGTATGTTGAGTTCAGAGATTAGCTTGAGAGTGACCGAACTGAGTCGAGAGTTTAGTGCTTTGCCGTAAGGCTGGCTTCACCATTGTAGCCTGTTGCTGATCATTTCAATATGTTTATTGTAGTTTTTTGACAATTGTAAACGTGTCTTTAGAACTCTCCAGTGTAATACTGGCTAGTAAATCGTGTTATGATTCTTCGTCAAGTGTTGTCGTCAGTCACTCCAAATCCATGAACCTGTAGAACACAACAGTATGTAAAATTAATAGGTTGATCTAAGAAATAGAAATTTAGTCATGTGCAGCTATTTTTGTTTGTAAAAAATCATCTCTCAGCTAAAATTCTTGAAGTTTAGCTAATTTTTTGTACATTAGTAAAGAAACTTTTTTTCAAACTTTTAAGAAATTCTTATATTGATATTTTATATGGTACAAAGTCTTTAATCCGCACGTCCATAACACGGAATGATCTACAATCCGGACCTCAAAGCTACAAACTTTCTGCGTGTGCGTAAAGGCATAATACCTTTACGCATGCACGTTTAATGTATAACTGATGGTATAAGCTAGGCTAAAATTATCTAATTATCTATTTTAGTTAATGTTGCAGATTGCGTTGTTTCTTAATCTTTTAAATTGGATCCGGCTTATTATTTTTTGCAGACAGAGCAATTTTATAAAAAGTAAGCTTGAAATTTCGATTATGTCCAAAAGAGTTTCCAATTCTGGAGCTGCCAAAGGATCTACAATGCAAAAGCATGTTTCGATGTCCATCAAACAAAAAGTGGAATTGCTGCAAAAAATGGATAAAGGCATGAAGAAAGTGAAAGAGAGGTTAGTGAAAACGAAAAAATTTCGATTGACAAGTTAGTCAGTATTCTCGGCACAGCAATTACAGGACTTGACAGCGGACTTTGTGAACTGAACAAGAAATTATTCTGTTATAGAATTAAAGAGAAAGTATTAGCACATAAAACGAAGCAAGATAAACAACTTACATTAAAAGAAATGTTTAATAAAGTAAAGAAATAAATATTAAGCTTTTTTTTTTTTTTTTTTCCGTAATTTTGATACCCTTTTGATCATAATTGCTCTTTATTTCATAAATTACGGTTTTATATTTTAATTTTATAATTTCTACATGCCATCTTACCAGATTTAAATTGATGATCTATAATCCGGAAAAAAACCTAATCCTAACTCGCCGAAGTCCCGACGAGTCAGGATTAAAGACTGTACTGTAAAATAATTTCACCTTTTTTCATAGTTTTGAAGTAAGGTACATACAGAAAAGAATCTATCAGTATTTTTTACAGGAGTGAAAAATTTATACATTTAACTTTTAGATTTATTTCTTTAGTATGGGTTTAAAATTAGTTTTAAATATTTTCTAAATGAAAAATTGTATGGTGAATAATGCAAGAATATCCATCTTTAATTCCAATCATAATTTCCTTTGTTAGCTCATCCTCTATTGTAATTTAAGGTCACTTATTTGGTATATTAATCAGCATCCAATTTTACTATTGTGTTATATTTCATCTTTTATTTTACTTCTTATGTAGAAACACAGCGAGTTCTTAGGCTAAGTTTGGATGAATTTTCTCTTCCAAAATTTTATTTGCTGTTTGGTATAAGCAAAGTCAAGTCAGCTGCAGTGACAGCTTTTCGTTCTAATTGCCGTCATGTGGATCGATCGTTTGGCTGCTCTACTTCTGATAATGAACCCATGCCATTAGCCTCTTTAGAAATAATCACAGATGCTATTTTAGAAATAATGGAGGTAAAAAATTCTTTTTTTGTATATTTTTTTTATTATTAAATGGGAATGTATGCATTATAAAGTCTGGCATTTTATTATAAATGTTTCATTTGTGTTTTTATTATATTCTAGGCATGTATGAAAAATATAAATAATTGTGATTGGTTACAACAGTGGACTTCTCTTGCTAAAAGGTATATCTCTAATATGTTATTGTAATGCTATATAGAATAGCAGTGCCTAATTAATGTAGAGTATTGATTTTTATTTCCTAGTTTCTGTTTCTGCATGCATACATCTTTCATCTCTACAGAAGATGATTCTGTTTTCTTCATTCATATTATAAATTTAGTTATTTATAAATTTAGAATTTTTTATGGAAAGCTTTGTACTTGAAACTTGGTGCTAAAGCATATGTACATTAAAAGGTATAAAGAAAATAGTGTTCACCCCTTCTTTATTTTATTATTTTGTATGACTTTGCCACAAGATAGCCTTAAAGAATTGCAATTGTACTTTGTAAAACTTAACAATAGATTGAGGGGAAAAAACTGTTTTCAAATATATTATTGGTTGTATTTATTTTCAGCTTTGCTTTTCGATATAATCCTGCCCTCCAGCCAAGAGCACTCATAGTATTTGGTTGCATTAGCAAAACAGTGCGTGATTTAGATGTTAAGCAGCTCCTCAGAATTCTTGTGCGGGCATTAGAATCATTCCAAGATTTGCAGCTAATAGAAGCTATTATTATGTGTCTTACACGGTTGCATCCTTTGTTAAGGCCTGTAAGTTTTGACTTCTCTTTCAAAATAAGCAACAGTTATAATTTCAATAATTTATGCTTAAAGTTTGCAAAGGTCATTTCTGCGTCATAAGTAAGTATGCTTTTAGTATTTTTTAATAATTCAATGCAACAGCAATATGGATTTTGCAAAATATTAATTTTTAGTGCAAAATACCTTGTTGCATTTTTAATACCCTCTCTCTTTTTTTGGGGGGGGATAAGGCTTACTTTTGATATGTGCGTGCATGTGCGAGAGAAGTATGATCATTTTAAATCTAGTAAGATCACATGTAGAAATTATAACATAAAAAGTATGAAATAATGAAGCGTTGAGACCTTAAGAAAATCAAGTTTACAAAAGAAAGTTCAATATTTATTTATTGATTTATCAAACTTTTCTTATATAATAATGTACTATAAGTTACTTCATTTTTTTGCTAATACTATCTCTTAATTTTGTACATAGACATAAATCTTATTCAGTTACGTTGTTCCACTGTTCAGGGCCTCTAGTAATTGGCATTCAAGAATTCCCACTAAATTATCAATCTAAACTTCTTTGTTCTTAGCAAATGCTCTGTTACTTTCTTCACTATGAGTATTATTTCGATTTTTTGTTCAATACAGTCAAAAGTCATTAATTCGGACACCCATAATCCGGAATGATCTATAATCCGAACCTCAAAGCTAAAATCTTTCTGCGGGACGCATGCGCATAGGTGTTTACGTGTGTGCGCAAGACCTTTACGACTGCGCATATGCGTCTGCAGAATACGTTTTCGTGTGCACGTTTAATGTATAACGGATGGTATAAGTTAAAATTATCTATTTATCTATTTCAGTTAATGTTGATGATTGTGTTGTTCCTTAATCTTCGAATTGGATCTGGCTTATTATTTTTTGCAGACTGTAAGAGCAATTTTATAAAAGTAAGCTTGAACTTTCGATTATTAAAAAGAATTCCGATGCAGGAGCTCCAAAGGTTTACAAAAAAGTATGTTTCGATGTCCATCAAACAAAAAAGTGAATTGCTACAAAAAATGGATAAAGGCATATCCTTTGTTTTCTAACCGTTCCAAAATCTGTTTATCAATTTCACGCTGCTCTGCGCAGGGGGGGCGTCGTGGTGCGCAATGAACTGGAAGTTGATCTGTCAGCACTATCGTTATCTTCAGAGCATATTTAATACCCTCTCTCTTTTTTTTGGGGGGGATAAGGCTTACTTTTGATATGTGCGTGCATGTGCGAGAGAAAGTATGATCATTTTAAATCTAGTAAGATCACATGTAGAAATTATAACATAAAAAGTATGAAATAATGAAGCGTTGATGACCTTAAGAAAATCAAAGTTTACAAAAGAAAGTTCAATATTTATTTATTTGATTTATCAAACTTTTCTTATAATAATAATGTACTATAAGTTACTTCATTTTTTTGCTAATACTATCTCTTTAATTTTGTACATAGACATAAATTCTTATTCAGTTACGTTGTTCCACTGTTCAGGGCCTCTAGTAATTGGCATGTCAAGAATTCCCACTAAATTATCAATCTAAACTTCTTTGTTCTTAGCAAATGCTCTGTTACTTTCTTCACTATGAGTATTATTTCCGTCAAAAGTCATCACACGGAGTCCCGATGCGACGTGCGATAGGATGTAAAGACTTTGGACGTTAATGTATAACGGACGGTATAAGCTAAAATAATCTATTTATCTATTTCAGTTAATGTTGCAGATTGTGTTGTTCCTTAATCTTCTAATTGGATACGGCTTATTATTTTCTTTTAGACTATTAGAGCAATTTAATAAAAGTAAGTTGGAACTTTCGATTATGTCAAACACAATTTCCGATACTGGAGCTGCCAAAGAATCTACAAAGGAAAGCATGTTTCGATGTCCATCAAACAAAAAGTGGAATTGCTGCAAAAAATGGATAAATAAAGGCATATCCTTTGTTTCTCTAACCATTCCAAAATCTGTTTATCAATTTCAAGCTGCTCTGCGCGGGGGGGGGGGAAACGTCACGGCGTGCAATGAACTGGAAATTGATCTCTCAGCACTATCCTCATCTTCATGGCAGATGTTTTTATTTTAATCGGCTTATAATTCCTTATTAAATGTAGTATTTCATCTCGATTTGCTCCCTCTTTGATATGATTTAAATCAAATTCCTCGTCATTATAAATATCACGAATACACATCAAATAGTTTTCTGGTTGCAATTTTCTAATTTCTATGCATAATGTATGCTTTACGCATGCGCGGGTTGAAAGAAATGTTTAATAAAGTAAACAAATAAATATTAAGATTTTTTTGTAAATTTTGATACCCTTTAGATCATAATTGCTCTTTATTTCATAAATTACGGTTTTATATTTTTAATTTTATAATTTATGCATGCCATTTTACCAGATTTAAACTGATGATCTATAATCCGGAATCACCGAAGTCGATGAGTCCTGGATTAAAGACTTTTGACTGTACAATATTTTCTCAATTTAGAACCATACTACAGATTTTGCTATCCTTGAGGTAATTGATGATAGGAGCATTGTCATTGCAATGGAAAATTTTTTTTATATCATCTTCATTTATTGTTACTTCTCCATATTTCTTCACAAATTCAATTAATGTGAAAATTTTGCTATTGTTTACGATGTCCAAAAACCTTCAAATTCGGCTGCATTATCATAAAGTTTAACTATCATCCACTGTACACTATTGAAGATGTATCATGAGATTGGCTACTAAAAATGGGCTCTTCTGCTAAATTTTGTTTTGCTTTTTATAACATGCAGAGGAAGTTTATACGCAAAGGAAGTTTATACTTATATCTATTTCTCATATATGCTTAAGGCTTATCTAAGTCTCCAATAAATAAATTCCTGTTTATACTGAGTATGTGAACAACAAATAATTTATTCTTAATACAGCTGGCACAAACATATTCAACACTTCACAGCACAGTTGGCTGATATCTGTAATCGTCACCAAGCATAATGTTCACATAAAAATTTATCATGCTGTTTGCTGTTCAATTATTAATTAATAATTTAAAACATTTTCGATATTGCTGCATTTGTTTTTGTCTAGCTACCATGAGTTGATATTCATGATGATATAAACAAAAAATGATAATAAAATTATTTGTAAAGTTGGCATCAGGGTTATAATTCAGTAGACATAAAATCAACGATGAAGTTTTGGTAGAATGTTTCGGTTTGAGATATATGCCAAATGAAAAAGGTAGCTATGGAGCAAAATATTGATCATATTGATTTATGTTAATAAATGACTATATTTCTTCAACATGGAGCTATTTATTTAGTGCCAATGTGGAATTAAGAATCAAGCTTATTTATCCACATACTTTATTATGAAAAAATGTTTACTACACATGCATTAAGCATGGGCTGAAGCAAGATGCAACTGTCAGAATCTAATTCTTTCTCCCTTTTCTCAGAAAATTTCATAATATATAGATATATATATATATATAATGTTATCAGCCGATAGATGGCATTGTAAGAAAAGCTGCCGATAGGGGCACACGATGGCAATCGAGAATCGGAAAGCGAGAGAATATGATTAAGGTTAAGAATGTTCTGTAATGATTTGTATATATGTATATATTTACTGTAATAATAAAGAATTTATAAATTGCAAGAGTTATCGCAATTGAATCAAAAGAGAAAGCCCAACTTACCCCTAGCCATCCTGAGATTAATAACGGAGATTAAAGCTAACATTTCGGAAGCGGGATGATTGATGCAAGCACGCATAGAATATCTCGTGTACCAAGAAAGTAGAAGAAGGGGTAAGTTTCGTTTTTAAAGATTTGAATGTATGTGGACTGTAGAATAATTCTAACTGAATTTAGAAGTATAGAATTATATTATTAGATAATATTATGGATGAGAATACAAAGAAAGCTTTAGATAAAGCAAAAATGAAACATAAAACTTTAAGAAGGTTAACAACCAAGTAATTAACAGACTATCTGAATTATTGGAACAGGATATTGTAGATGCAAAATCATTAGAAGAATGTGAGATGAATCTACAAGAAAAAGCAGATCAGATATTTAAGTTAGATCTAGAGATTGAGAATTTAATTCCTGAAGTATCTGATCTGGAAACAGAAGTCGAGAATAATCAGGAATACAGAGAACGTATGATCTATGCGAAATCGAAAGTTAAGAATTATCTTCAGAATTCAAATAGAAATAAGACAGATTTGTCGTTCAAGAATAACTCTTCACTTATTTCGAATAGTGAACCAGACAAAACCGAGAATAAATTTGCCGAAACTTCATGTAGAACCATTTAAGGGTAATTTAGAAAAGTTTCAGGAATTTTGGTCACAGTTTGATAATGCGATTCACAGTAACATACGCTTATCTAAAGTAGATAAATATAATTATCTTAAAGCTTTTTTGAAAAACCCAGCCTTAATTAGTATTCAAGGACTATTGGTATCGGAAAATAATTATGATTTAGCAATTGAATTGCTTAAAGAAAGGTACAGGAAAAAAGAAATTATTGTAAGATCTCATATTAACTATTTGTTAAATTTAAATGCAGTAAAATCAGCTTCGTATTTGAAACAGTGAAGGGAGTTATACGATACGATAGAAATCCAAGTGCGGGGTTTACAAACTCTTGGTGTCGAACTGAATTCATATTTAAGTTTGTTGTTTCCACTACTAACCAAACTTATTCTAGATTCCATTGTGCTAGATTTTCATAGACAGCATGAAAAAGACGATTCTTGGAATGTAACTGAATTATTAAAATTTCTTAGAAGAGAAATAGAAACACGAGAATGAACATTTTTGTTTGGACAAACAAGGGAAAATAATGAATCGGTTAAAAGCGTAGACTATAAATTGTCACTTAATAAATTTTCGGAAAAAGGAAAGATTTCAGAAGTTTAAATGTAAGCAGCAAGAGTCGATTCCTAACACTACCGCACTGAGCACATTTCAGAAAATTTGCATT